CTTTTCAATGTATGCTTATTATCCTTGTCACTTTCGTCCGGTTCCGTCCTTGCATCTGCAGTTCTCTAGTCCCACTGAAGACTTTCTGGAATGTATATAATTCTGGTATATCTTTGCTAGTTTTGTTCGAAACGTAATCTAAAGCAATTAGCACCTCGGAGATATAGTGCCATCAATCACTTTCCAGTCAAACGTTGTTAAAATCCTGTCCATCTCCCATGGATGAAACAGTTACAGTATCACAGCTATACTACTTTTTTTATCTATTTGTTCACACAGAGTCCATTTATACAAGCAGAGGAGTGTGAAACAACCTAGTTTAGCATTTCTAAGTTTTTGATATTGTTTATATATTTTTATATAAAATTTTATATTAATATATGTCTATATTACTTTATATATTTTATTTCAGTGTTGTATCTCTTCGGAACGTGGGAAATCCTGGCTCTCCGTAAGCTTCTATGCCTTGTGGCCCTTAGCAGTTTTTCTTCCTTTGCCAAGCATCTGGCCTCGTTCCACCATGCTCAACAAGTAGGTAAGCTCGCTGCCTTCCCCTATGTTTCTTTCCCTCGATATGCCCTGTGAGAGTTCAATTTTGCACGGCCTCCTTCCTAATTACGTGTCCAATAAATTTCAGCTCTCTCTTGATTCTGATTAAAGGTTTCTTTTTGCTACCATTTTCTTTAAGACTTCGTTGCTTATTCGCTTTGTCCATGGAATTCACCGTATCCTTCTGTAGAACTACATTTATACTTTCTGTCTTCTTACAGCTGATGGCTAATCCCTTTTCTTCTCATTTTCCTTTAATATCTATCTATCTATCTATGATCAATTCGCTTTACCAGTCATTCTATCTACTTATAAAACTACTTGGGGATATTTTTCAACGTTTGTAGAGTGAAAATCTCCTATATGTAAAAAAGAAGAAAAGAAACGAAAAACACTGTTTCTTCCGAAATCCTTTGGTAGCTGTCATGGAAAACTAGAAGTGACTTAGTGGATAAGATAGTCATGTATTTACCACTAATATCACCTTAGAGATCGGTGTTAAAGCCCAGGTAAAAGCTAATATTTCAAATGGCGATTTCCTAGGCAAACAGACCTTTATAATTACTTCCATATTTTGTCCATATCTGACCTTATTCCGCGAGCGGATAAATGAATATGGATATCAGAAATGACTTGTTTTACAGGGACGGCTGATATGTTCGCTACAGTAAACGACGAGTACAGACGCCAGCAATTTCCTACTTATGCTTGATTAAACAAAGCTAATTTAACAATTCTATGTTTATAGCCATGTGCCAAACTTGATTTACACTGTCAAAATTAGAAGGAAACTGTGTTTAATCGTAAGATTATAAAAATTAAATGCAATTTTGGAAATACCTTTAAAGATTAACTTATTTTAGATTAATTAATAATTAAAATATTTAATTTAAGCGGTTAAGTCTTACATGATATATTCTAATTATTAATTTTTGACTAGTTTTCTTCATCTAATGCCTTTTATTATAACATTCCAGTTGTATAGCCTCCGAAATAAGAGAAAAGTAGCAGGCTTACGATGGATTTTACCGCGTTTTTAACTATTGGGGCTGAATTCATTAAGGTGTTGTCTATAAGATGAGCTCGTGTGTTATGGGATGAGAATTCAAATCTCATCGGAGGCTACTTCCTTATTTTGATTTATGTTGTTTACTTTAACCGGAGGAGTTAACATTGGGATTAAAAATGAAGAAAACAAGTACAAAATTATTAAGGTGCATCAAAAATATTTTCATTTTTTAATCAATATTCATTGTTTTATGGCGCATTTGTTTCTTGTTTTTCAGTTCATTCATAATTTGATCTTTGTGAGAAACCAAAGAAAATTTGTTATATTCTGCATATGGCTGTTTGCTCAGAGCACAGGATCAAGTTGAAAGAAAGTGAAAACTTGCAGAAATATGTGTACACGTTGCCAGATAGATAAAACAATGACGGAACATGAAAGTTGTACTCATTATTATTACAACAATTGTATCGGTTTCAAATGCTTGAACAAATGAAACCAACGAATGAATCTTCAATGAAACACCACGAGTCATTATTGTCATTTAATCTTTATTAAAAGCCATTAGTCACTAGGGTGAATGGTGTACAATAACTACAAATAATAATAATAATAGGAACAACACAAATAATTTAACAAAATATAACCCGCTGTTAATATTTTAATGATGGGATTTAACCCAGCAAAATAAGCAATTATTATGAGATTTATTGAAAATGGTATCAAAAACTACTTTGCAGCATTACGAATAGTCTGTTCAGTTAAATCTGTATCCCGTCTGTTGGCAGTCAGATATTGTAACTTGTTTGCTGTGTGTCTGTGTATGGGAACTCGTGGGCCGACAAATCGACCATCTCCAGACTTGAGCTCCTCAAAGTTTGTTGTTTTCCATCAAGGACCAACTCAAGCAGTAAAAATAATGCTGACTGTCCGTGAAACAATCGGAAATTGACCGCGTTCTATGCGTCTGAATTAACCTGGCGTTTAGTTTTCGACAGCCATGGTGTGTGCTCGGCCTGGGGGAAGTGCGGAAGAGATGTTGAGTTACGAGGAGAAGTTATGCTTCTGACGGCCTCCATTGCCTCCAGCATTTAAGCATGCATCTGCACACACCCGCACACACATACGCACGAACGCACACACACACACACACATGAACGAACCTCTATCTAAGAAATGAATCAATAAGTCTGTACCCTGATACAGAGATTATCCAAATTTTTTTGTGAAGTTTTGAAAGTAACATTTATGTGATTTATGGGAATCATTGGATTAAGTGCATTGATTATGTTGAAATATAAGTATTTGTTGTGACAAATGTCATTTCTCATCAAAGTTTAAAAACTTATTAAGAGCCTATCTATCTATCTATCTATCTATCTATCTATCTATCTATCTATCTATCTACTTATGCGCAAAAGGAAAGGCATGAGTCCCCTCACCATTTGTTTTAGATAGTAGGACTTGTATCTGGAAAAATTAATGTTATTCTCCAAAGGTTGATAATCCGTAAAAAACAAATCAGTCATTTTAAAAAATATCTATCATTTTATCTGATCACATGTGTATATGTTCGCATTGCCTAAATCAACAGAACCTCACTACGGTCGAACACCCAGCCCCCTTCTTTATCCTTTACTGTTCATATACATATAAAATACTTGTTTTGTTTTATTAATCACTATTCAGTACCCCCCCCCCCAAAAAAAAAACAACAAAAAACAAAACAAAAAACTGACCACGCCGTCTCTTATTCATGCATTTATATTCATTTACTATTTATTTATATTTATTTGCAACCCTAAAAATAAACTTCATCTTCGTTACTTTATCCAAATGTTTCGGATAAATTTTGTCCATTCTCAGGGAAGACTGTATTATAATTTTTGTTTTAAACTTATTATCTTCAGATATTTTTATGTTAAACAATCATCGAATACTGCGTCAACACACGAACACACATATACACATAGACACCCTAGTTACACATTTAGATTTGTTAAAACAACCGTGCTTGACCGATCATGTCTTCAAGCGTGTATATATCATGAAATTAGTGTTTACCTATGGCCTCGAAACGTATGTGTTTAACCTCTTCTCGGTGTGAACCCTGATGTTGCCACGAACTCGCTCCATTACCGGAAAGCAAACAACAACAACAATTAACAGTGAGTGGCTTGGGCGATGAAACGAAGATTGTTTCTCTTTCTATTCTTTGCTTATGTTTTACAAGGACACGGCGATAGTTTACGCTTCTTAGAGACTAATTCATTGGGCATGTATGAAAAAACACAGAGCATTTTTTCGAAAGGATAAAGCCTTATCCACCCCGTTTAGTTGCCGCCCCGGTGAAAAAATATCTTAATAAAATAATAAAGGAATAAAAGTATGTGTATAAACATTCACATGGCGTAGGCGGATATAACGGAAAAAATAGAAAGAAAAAGATTTTTTTAGGGTTAGGGTTAGGGTTTGGAGAAGAGAAGAGAAGAAAAAAAGAAAGAAAGAAAGAACTCGAAAAGAAAAGAGAGCATAAGAGAATTTTCGTGTGAATATCTTAGATATCTTAGATAAGCTCTTACTATTATACATTGGTTCATACAACTTTAAGTACTTTGTTTAATGATTATTACCAGAACGTTTCAAATGTTGTATCCATCGGCTTTAGTCTTTACTTTGTATTTCGTCACAAATGTTTAACTGTCGTTTCCTGGTTTTAAAGGATATATATTTAAAGTATTTCATTCTTTGATTTTTGACCCATTGGAGTTTCTATATGTCTACCGTAACTTTTTCGAACTGGATGATTTTACAAGATCTGGAAAAATAATCCAGTTTTATTCTTGATAGGAACGCTTTTTCGGAGATTTAGAGGATATCTTGAAGCTGTTGCCCGTTTTCAACATCTTACTCAACTTTTTTCTTTATTTTTCACGCCTTTCTTGCATTTACTAATACTTTTAATTTGAAAATAGAAGGAATTTTGATTTCTATCGGTGCAGACGTCTGAATTGGGTGGTTGGACATTGGCGAGAAATTTAGGTGAAACTTTTCTGATTGTCTCCATTCCACTCTATAATGATCTTTCAATTTTTGTCTAATTTTTATCTTTGACTATTAGAGATCATGTGTTCATCTTTGTTGTTATTAAAGTTTTGATCACTGAACACTTCAACAAGACGCCAATAAGCCAATGTAGAAAAAAAAAACTTTTTTGATTCTAAGTAAAAAAAAAAAAAAAAAAGAAGAAATATTAACTTTATCTTGGATTTCCGTTTTCATCCTTAATGTGATATTTTCGTATATCTGTGAGGCTATCAGGAATAACAACTTATATTTTGTCGAGGGAGATATGCCTTTGTCGACCTTAGTTTTGGTATGCAGTATAAATGACTATAGTCTTCATAAACGTACTGAAGGATCAGTTATAGGAAGAAAAAGAAATTCAATAAAAGAGAAAAATGAAAGAGATGGAGTGAAGGAAAGAAGGAGGGATGCGTAAAAAAAGAAAAGAGAAAAGATAAAATAAAAATAGAATAGAAGGGAGAGCGAGTGTAGCGCAAATGAAAATGGTATAAATTGAATGAGAAGAGAGAGAGAGAGAGAGAGAGAGAGAGGTTAAACAAGATAGAGAAAAGAAAACTAAGATAAGAAGCACAAAGATAGAGAGAAGAGAAAATAAGAATGATTTGAATTGATTATGACCTTAAAACTAGAGAAATTAAATAGATTTGCATGAGTTGTAAGAAAGATGTAACCTGAAAAGGAAAAAAAAAGGGGATAGGAACATAACTTAGGAAAGATGTCGGAAAAATGAAAGAATTTGAAAACATTGAAGAGATAGAAAACTGAAAAATGTTGCAAAAATGGATTTAACAAAAAAATAAAATGATGAAAAGTAGATTTGATCAACGAGGAAATATTACGAATACAGAGAAAGAGAAAATATCCAGAATATTAAAAACATTTGATTAAAAACATGAAAGTAAACAAGCTACCGACTTTAAGAAAAGATCACAAAGAGAAGCTTGTAAGTTGGACGAATAAGTACATGAAAACTGATTCTTTAACAATAAGTTTTAGAGATAAATGTAGAACTATATGGTATTGACTGATGGCTGGACAAAATAGTCCACCAACACATCTTAGAAGACAATATGTAATGTAGTTCAGTAAAATGCTGTTGGTGTTGTTGTTGCTGCTGCTGCTGATGATGATGATGATATCCGCAGAAAATTATTGTAACTTCTTGGACAACATGTTTTTGAGTGGTATGGAACACAACGAAAAAAAACCTAATGCAGAAGAATTTATTCCACAACGCTGACTATTGCTCATCTTGCCAAAAAAAAAAAAAGAAAAAAAAAAAGAAAAAAGAAAAAAGAAAAAAGAAAAAGAAGCTTTTAAAGACATCAAATTAATGAAATGACACTTAGCCTGTTCCAATAGAAACGTCGTTGTAGTCCATCCTGAAAAGAGATGTATATCAGAATGGTAAACAATATTCACTAAAAGTAAATCTTTCGGAGACAATAAATTAATGTGAATTTATGTGAAGAGTCAGAATAGTAAAAAAAAAAAAAATTTAAAAAATCAATAGACAAAGCAGTGATATGTAAAATAATAAAATAATTTATTTAGATAAATGGAATATTATGTTAATCGAATATCTTTCTGTGGCCTTTATCTTTTGAATTTTTTAGAAATAAAAATTTGTTACACTTTGAATAATAAAACCTGTTACTTCAAAGCGAGTTATCATCAATATTTTAATAAGCTGAAACTGACACGACATATTGTAGATATCAATATATACTGAAGATTTGATTGCTTCATACCAGTTTTATTGCGATAAATATAATGCATTATAAAATCTGACTATATCTATCAATCGACACATCAGCTGTAAAGCGCGTCTCGTCGACCGTTCGTGAATATCGTGTGCTTGATCCGTCATCAACAGGTATCACGATTAGAAAAAGAAAAAAAAAAGGAATGAAATATTTAGAAGCTGAAAAATGAAGTGTATAAAAATTAGCGGGATGAAAGAAGAAATGAAAAAGCAAGGAACGCAAGCACGAGGGAAAGAAATGAAAAAAAAAAAAAAGACCCACGCTCACATCCATACACAAGTTATGAAGGACGAAATAAAATGAAAAGAAATATAATTGGAAACTGATAGATAAACGATCCAACATTATAACTAAAAATGAATTATTATTGAAAACAATTTAAATTTTTTGACCAGGTTTTGGAGAAGAGAAAGAAAAGAAAAATGGAAATAAAATAAAAGAAGGCATCTCATAAAGTAGGAAAGAAAAGAAAGTAGGCCGAAAGAAAGGGAGAAAAGTGAAGATATTAGATGGAGAAAGAGGAGGAGAAGAAAAATATGCTGATGAACATGATTCACTTGAAAATGAATAAAAAGCGGTTGAAAGAAAAAAAAAAGAAAATGACTGATGGTTTGAAAATAGTTAAGAAAAGAAATTCATTAAGGAAGAAAAGGGAAAGAAAGGTAAAAAGTGAAAATGAAAAAAATTAAGAGAAAGGGAGGGGGAGAAGACTGAAAAGAGAAATAAATGAAGAGAGAGAGAGAGAGAGAGAGAGAGAGAGAGAGAGAATGGCTAATGAATGGTAAGAGGAATTGTGAATCTGACCGAGCTTTGCAGTTGGCTGGTTGATTGGTTGAAATTTTCAAAAAGATGAAGGTGGATGGGAAAGATTTTCGGAGTAGACGGAGAGGTGGGCAAAGTAGGTGGAAGAATCGTTGGGTTTAATGATGCGTGTGGGTGTAATTAAGCCTTGGGAGGAGGCCTCGGAGCAGCCAAGGATTTGGTTATTAGAGGCAATTTTTCCTTGTTGTGTTATATATATATATATATATATATATATATATATATATATATATAGAGAGAGAGAGAGAGAGAAGGAGAAAAAGAAAACGCAGAGAGAATGTGTTCGTGAGAGAGAGTGTGTACAGTATGAGAGAGAAAAAGAAATGTAAAGGTGTGAGTAGGAAAAGAGAGGAGAAAGATTATGAGAGATAGGGAAAGTGCGTATAAAGTGTGTGTGTGTGTGAGAGAGAGAGAGAGAGAGAGAGAGAGAGAGAGACAGACAGACAGTCAGACAGACAGACAAAAGCAGAAAGGGAATTGTCAATATTTTGGGACGAAAGAGAGAAATAATATATAATTGCGAGTGAATGTATATGCCAGAGAACTACGGATTGAGTGTGTGTGAGTGTGTCTGAAAGGGAGAGAAAGCTAATTTGTGTGCGTGTGTTTATATATACATATACGTATTCGAAAGAGAAAAGGAAGTTTTTATTTGGTGTGCACGTGTGTGTGTGTGTGTGTGTGTGTGTGTGTGTGTGTGTGTGAGAGAGAGAGAGAGAATGAGTGTGTGTGTATCTATGAGAGGCAGAGGAAAATATGTATGCTTGTGTATGTGTAAGAGATAGTGTTTTGTATGAGAGAGAAAAAGAAAGAGAAAGCGTACCATTTGTATATCAGAGAGAGAGAGAGAGAGAGAGAGAGAGAGAGAGAGAGAGGAAAAGCAATATGTCTGCTTAGTTGCCTCTAAGCAGCGAACCGTACACGGAAGCCATACAAAAGCAACTAACATAACCAAAGCTGGTGCATATGATTTTCAACACTTGATACTTGGGTATAACGTTGATTATTTTGAAGTAATATCATTATTTCATCATTATCAACCCCCTTCATGGAGCATTGTTTAGCAAGACATTTCTGGCAAGACATCTCTGGCATCATTTGTGACAAAAACCATTTGATAATGATGAAGGAAAAATAAATCCTCGCTAGCATTCAGGGCGTCACATAAATGATACAAGAATTCCTTTAAAAATCCTTCATTTCTCATGAAATCAGCTACTGTCAGCGTACAACAAAGAATATCGAAAATGAACTATAAGGTCTACCACATAACGTTGATTTCTGCAAAAACAGAACAGAGGTAGCTTTAAATAATCGGTGTTATTTCCTACTAGCCTCGCTTTCAAACAGTGGGGAAGGAAGTGCCTGTTCTAGGTGAGCCCTGCGAATCAACAACTGCAATATATATATATATATATATATATATATATATATATATATATATATATATAATTGTATTTAGTCGAAAGTTTGATAAAAGACTGTAGATGTGGGAAATGTGTATTTAGATAGCATTTATTGTTTATGCATAAGAGAATGCATATTTGTATTTAATGAATATTGACAAAAAGATAAACTTGTGTGTTGGCGTAAATTTGGACAAATTTGTGAAAGTAGGTTGTGTCAAGAATTCTTCAGAACCCCTTCGTATATATTGAGCAATCTTAAATTATAAATTTGTGTTTCTATTTCTTTAAATATATTGATGACAATTCTTGCCAATGACGTCGTTGTGGAATTAATTCGAACACGTTGTGACACACAGTGAAAAACAGCAGTTACACTTTAAATAACCAGGGTGTCTTTGTTACAATACCAGTTGGATATAAGTACGTTCACAAGAAACAAATGACTTCTTTTACACACCTAAAAGAGCTCGTTCTTCTCCGCTTTACATTGGTGACTAAAAAAATGAAACGTTACAGATATAAAGCTGTAGTAAGTTTGCATACTAGTGACTATTTTTAAATGGCTATAGAATTTGAAGCCTGGAGGTTGAAATATTGAAATTTAAATGAGCACTTGTCAGAAACTTTAGTATCTACTGAAGTGACTGTTGGTTATATTTTTTGTTTTCAGAATGCTGCTGGGGTTTTCTTAACATCTTCCCTATTTTGTCTTTAATAATAATAATAAAAAATATTGTTGATTTACGTGAGCTGAGAATCGCACATATTCCCAGCTATTCCTTTTCTGATATTCTCTTTTTAAGTTACCGTATATAATCACGTATCATGCGACTTTTGAAAACCTAATTTTGAAGCTAATTTTAAGGAGGTCGCATCATAGACGAGATATAAAATTTTCGTACGTACTACTGGCCATGGCTATGTCGTTGATCAAGCTATATATCCATTTACAGTAGTCAAAATGTACAGTTGTATTTAAAATAAACATCGCACGTTACACGTATATAAGGTAATCTTCCTTTCTGCATGTCTCACTTTTTTTAGTTGCTTAATCCTTCTTATTTACGGTCATATTTAAAAAAAAAAAAAAACATTTTACTCAAAACAAGGCGGTAATGCCACTTGAACGCAAGGGTTATTGGGAGTGAAAGGGAATGAGAAGACATTAGTGAAGAGAAAGGACAATAAAAAAATAGAGTTCAGGTAGATAAAAGATAGCGATTGACATTGCATTTAGATTTTTAAAGATTATAGGTGGTAGGGAAGCAAGGAAGTGGGGTGCGGGGAAGCAAGGAAGTGAGGGGGGAAGCAAGGGTAGGCAAGAAGTGCTAGAAAAGAAACTGTTAGAATAGAACTGACAATTGCATTTGTCTAGTTCAATAGTTAAACGGTTGTCATCTAATTGTCAATCTCGTAGTCCGCTTAAATTCATGCAGTCAAGGTGCTAAGGATAAAAGCTCACCAGAACAACAACAACTATAAAAATATTTCTCGTCTTTTCCATCAGTTCCGGTATTGAATTTAATTGTTTCCATTTTTTTTTAAAATTTCTATTTAGTTTCTCTCTTTTTTGAAATACCATTTCCAATTTCCTACTCAGATTTTCTGTCTTTTTCATTATTTCACAAAACTGGAATCAGTCTTGGATTTCTACATGAAATTCGATGATATTCTCTTCGAACTTATAGAAATAGTTTCTCTCGTTTTGAAAGTCAAATTTGACTTTGCAAGCTACCATTCTGTAATTATTTCTTATACTAATTTTGCTTATGATACTTGTATCATAAACGGTTTTCGATTTGACAGTAATTATGAAGTCAATTTTATTTTTTGTTTTTCTATTTGCTTTTAGGAAAAATATATTCTTAATTGTTATTTCTGAATCATTTAAATAACATTTTGCCTAGATCTTTTCCCTTTTCCTATACTAGTTACTGCCTCTTTACTTTGGCAATGAAGTCGCCCATGAAAATTGTGGAAATTGATTTCTTTACAACTGCAGGATTACTAATGTTGACTTATACTTTTAGTTTTTTTCAAATTGATTTTTTCGAAGTTGGTGCAGATATTTAGATTATTTTAGAGTGTATCTTTTGCATAAATTGATTATTATTCAATTTAACCTTTTTGAACCTCTATGCTACTCAAAATTTCACTATGGACTAACAGTTAATAGTGACAGTGAGTTTATTTTCCTTTCTCTTATAATAAAATAGAGGATGTTTTTCAACTGAAATATATCCTCTTCATATATATATATATATATATATATATATATTGATTATTATTAAGGTTTATTAGAATCTATAGAGAAACGGTTAGTTACATTAGTTTGGAGACAGTAGGTCTTCAAAAGAAATTTAAATATGTATTTATGAATAAAAACAAAAGGAAAACTTATTTTAGTCAACGCGTTTCATCCTCTGAGGGATTTTATCAGGGCAATGAAGTAAAAAGTCCTTCTGAGGACGAAATGCGTCTGCTAAGTTTTCCTTTTGTTATTATTCATATTGTTCTCTTATAGATTTAATCTATCTGAAATTTTTACGCATATATAAAAATACATTCCTTAAATTCAACTGAAAGTGAAAATTAATATGAAAAACTGTCTTCAAATACAGGTTTCTTTCATTATTGATAATTTCAACAAATTTTAAAAAATCAAAAAAATCAAAGTTAATAAATAAAAATATAAATAAATACAAGAAAATAATGTAAAATCATATTTCGATAAAAATCCATATAAATTTGAATGATGTTTAATTTGTCATCAGTTTTTAGACATTATAATGTTTAAGCGGGTAAATTAAGATGCGCCTAACATTTTCTTCTTCATTTCTTATATTGCTTTATTCAGCACAGCTTAGTATAACAGAAGATCATATGAGCAGAGAAATGTTGTGTCAATAATCCAAGCAGAGAAATGCTTTATTCTTTCTTATTTACTTTTTTTTTTCTCTAATTTCCTCACTTTTTCTATTATTACCTCTCTTTGCCTTCACTCTCTCCTTTGTTTCTTCATTTTCTCTCTTTATTTCCAACGTATTATTTCACTCTATATTTCTATCTTTTCTGACATTATTTTCTTTTTTTTTTTCATTTGATTCTTTCCGCTTTCACTTCTTTCTAACTACATCCACTTTTTGTTTTTCACCTTCTCTCTATCTCATATACTGTCATCGACACTTATTTAGACTAGTCAGGCTCAAGGCCAAGTGGATTGAGGGATTTTTTGAACAGTTTAATAGGGAAACTTTACCTGCATCTAGAATGTTTTTGAAAACCAGTTTTTTTTTTGCTTTCTTCCGGTTCGTACGAGGACTACGCTCGCCAGTAATAAATACACACCGAAATGTAAACATGGAATCCTAACTTCAGAGGCTCATACATCGAAATGACGGAAGTAGAATTAAAATGAAGAAATATATCATAGAAGATCAACCAGGGCAGCTGCTCCGTAGAAAGAGTTAGATACAGTTGTCTCATAGACCAGCGTTATATATTGAATGTTATTCTCACTGCATGCACGGTACTTATGCACCGCGCCATAAAAACAGTAGTTAGCAAAGCAAGCTAGTCTCGCACTTCATTATTATTGTAGTCGTCAGCGGGGAAACCCATATATGTCAATATAACATAACACTCTTTCTCATTTTCAATTCACAACCTACAGATTAAATGCCAAAACTAGCACCCCCCCCCAAAAAAAAACAAAAACAAACAAAAGCAAATAAAAGAAAGAATGGTAAAATCCGGAAATGGTAAAATCCGGAATTGGTAAAATCTGGTGCTTAAAATAATTGTCCTATTACTATCGCACTTTTTTAAGTGTAGAAAATACTTAAATCGTGGAAGTGACGAATCATTATTCAAATACGTTGACTATTGGTTTATTTTTTGCCTCCTATCAGAATTTGACGTGTTATATAATCATTTGAGTGAGTCATTAGAATGTTGACACGTTTGTTTAATATACCATATTCCTGATATACCCTATTCCTGATATCACAAATAGTATTTTCAAAAAAAAAAAAAAAAAAATGATAAGGTTTTTGATTCGTGGAATTTATCGATAAATTTTCTGATAATAGGGATTTAAAAATAGACTGTTATGAGAGGAAGGTGTATTGAATTATAGCTATGTAGATTACATAAAATAAAATACAAAACAGGAAGAGATATTTTGTTATTTCCTCTTAATAGAGATACATTTACATTTGTTCATTGTTACATAACAAAATTTCAGTTTTACTTATTCGGGGCAAAAAGTCCCAAACAAATAGAGGAAGATTTAATCTCATTTTGAAATCAATTATGAGTTAATTAAAACTATATCGTCACACAAGATCTATCTATCTATCTATCTATCTATCTATCATTTGATTCTTACCAGGATGCTTCCCATCTGTAAATGTTTATTAAACCAAGCTTAGAAAATATCAAGGTACCTCACCTTCAAGCAAACTAATTTAAGAAACTGGTCTGTACATAGGTGAGCGCTTAAGAACATCAGGTCGTATAAATGACAAGAAGTATGGCA